AGATCTTGGCCTTACATCAATAGCTCATTGTTTTTCTTAGTCTCAAGGAGACAAAATACAAGTAAAAAACTTATTATTTTCTTTTCTCAACCATGTGTCTCTCAGACGACATTATTTGTGTGAAAATATGTATTCTTTAATATCTTTGCATCATTGATATTCTCTTCAGGAATATTTTACCTCTTAACTCTCAAAAGAGTACTCATTAACAGATTCAGGTCTGATAACTTTAGATGCAAAATACATAATGAGCTTTAGGTAATCACATGATTATACCTTTTTTGGATTGTTCTCCAAAATTTTATGGCTCTTTTAAGGTCAAGTCTTATACTTAAACTCTCAAATATATAATGATAATGAAATATAATTATAAAATTATTTGAAATCATATGAATATGTATTAACAGAAGCATCATATTGTATGATGAAATAAATAATACTCCTATAATAATTATTATATGGACTAAATTCTTACTTTCATGTTGTTTAACAAGGTTATCATCTAATTTACTAAATAAAGAAGAAATTATTTTAATAATCAAAATCTAATTAACCTTGTATATAAAAGATGAAAAATAAATAACTTATCTTACAATGAAAAGTGCAATCCAACTGCTTATGTTTCTTGGTTGGTTATAGCCTCACATGAATATCTCTTCTTTTTAAAGAGATAAATAATTCTGAAACGCTTAGAATTTGCTCATATAAATATGGCTGGTAGGTTAGTGATTATCAACATATGAACCAAATTCTTAGACCAAAGACTACCCAATTACAAATGATTTCTAAGTGTAGGTATTTCACGGGATTATGAAAATAAACCATGATTCATAAAAGCATGTTTCTGTTATACCATTAAACAATGATGCATATTAAAGTATATCAGGTAAAAGTTAATTCATATAATCAATGTTGTAAATAATTACACTAAAGTATACGTAGATGTTAGATAAGCAATAAAATATGTAACCATGTCAATCAAACCAACCATATAGCCCAATGATAATTTAGCATGATAACTTTGTCCAGACGCATTAAATCAAACAGGTGACCTATATGAGCATGAACATCGTTAAATAATAAAGAGACAAGCATATAGATAACACGAGTTGTAAAGATTCTTTCAGTTTTAGACCATCTCCAAACGATACTTTATAACTTCAAATATGAAGTTTTTGGTTCTCTAAGAGCATCTCCAAAAGAAACTCTATAACATCAAATATAGAGTTTTTTATCCTCCAAAAAGAAACTTCAAAACTTCAAATTTAGAGTTTTGAAGAGTAAAACTTCATATTTGAAGTTTCACTTCTCAAAACTTCAAATTTAAAGTTTCATCTTTTTATTTGCATTTTAGTCCTTACAATTAATTATACATCATATTTATTATTTTTAAGTATTTTCTTGTTTATCGTTATAATCTTAAAAAATATATTTCTTAAATATTCTGGATTTGTTTTTATAAATTTAATTTTCACGCTTAAAAATTTAAAAAAAAATTTGTATTATTTTAAAACTAGAATTAGACAACATGAATATTACAAAAGAAACTTAATAAAAATAAATAAAAGGTGCATGAAAACATAATTATAACATAAATTTTAATATTATAATAACACTAATAATCTAGTAACTTGCTCCGGAACCTTCAAAATCTCCAAAATGTTGTGTAACTGAAAATAGAGCATATGGAAATAGTTTATGAAATAATGTAGTAGTTTGGTTATAATTTATTATTTTAAAACTACAATTAAACAACACGAATAATATAAAAGACACTTAGAGTATTTTTTAAAAGGTACACTAAAAAAAAATATTATTACATAGTTTAAATATTACAACAATACTAATAGTCTGGTAAATTTGCTCAAAAACTTTCGAAATCTACAAAATATTGTCCAAATAAGTTTTGTGTAACTAAAAATAGAGCATTACAAAAATAATTTTATGAAATAATGTAGTATTTTGCTTGTAATTTAATATTTATTTATGTATTTTTATTTACAAGTTTATATTTTAGTGTAAATTTTTATTAATTAATATTGTTGTTATGATTTTATATATGTGCTAGTTATTTATAAAAGTTTTATGGATTTTACACTAATTATGACAAATATAAGGATCATAGAGTAAAACAAAAATAATTTTAAAGTTGGGTTTGAAGTTTTTCTTTTGGAGACGAACACCTTGAAACTTCAAAAATAGAATTTTGCAAACTCTAAATATGAAAATAAATATGAATATTTTGCAAAAATATGAATCTCAAAAATGAAGTTTTCCTCATCACGTTATGGATTAGCGTGGGACCTTCAAGGTTTGGTTTGCATTTATATTCCAGCATAAAGTTGTAGTGAGATTTAAGTAGAATTCAATGATAACACACGGAAAACCCAGATTTCGACTTTTTTTTAGTCCTCGACATTAAACTGCCTTTTTGAGGGTCAAAACAGCGGAATTTGGCGTCCGGAAAATCGCGGCGCCTATTCATCGCCATTTATGGTTTTGGGGCGTTTCCGAAATGGTGTTATGGGCGTCGTAGTTCCACACGGTTCAAAAGTTATGAAGTTTTTAAGTTTAGAAACGCTTTGGTGTGCAAAAAAAAATAAAAAAGGGATACAACACGAGGACTTA